CGGCCTTGAATGGATGGCCCGGAACGAGTATAGTTGCAAATATGGCCGGTTATCCGGCTCGAAGGACCAAATGTTTCGTTGTAATGGCTTGTGCCCTCCGCTTGTGCCCCCGGTATGATCTGGATTCGGTGACGCGGTCGAGGGTTATGTATCCCTCTGTATTTGGGTGTTTCTCGGTAGATGGAGAAAAGAGAACTCGTGGATGTAGTATATTAATTAACACAACACTTTATTACTAATTGATGTACGCACGAGGTATAGAAAAACGCACGAGGTATAGAAAAACGCACGAGGTGACCAAGCGTGAGAACGCTCGCGAGGGTCGAGATCGTCTGTTGGCGGGATCGCACGCGGGCGCGATCGATACCGAAGGGGGGCCGGAAATTGGCGAAAAGGGCCGAGATCGCGACAGTCGCCGAACAATCACGAATAAGACGCGTGACGAGACCGTGAAAAGGCGGCCCGCTGCGCGAGAGCGAGATAGGGCGAGCGCATCGCTTTAATACTAAACACACGCATCGTCCGAAGCATTTGAGAATCCCGGTACTAAAAGTTAATTAATGACGTCACATGCTTTTTTGTAGATTTCTAATTGGACAAGAAGAACACGTGACATTATTAATCGCTCCCGGAGCAATCAAACCCATATCGTCCGAAAACGCTATTAAAAAAATTTTTATTAATAGAGGTCTCACTATTTTTGATAAACTTTTAAATTAGTAAAAATAAAATATTTAAAAAAATATATTTGATTTTATAATTTAATTGTCAAACAAATACTTTTAATTAAGAAAAGATGTAGCGTATATTTTTTTATTTCGGCATAAATATATATATATATTTTTTATGTTTTTGTTTAAGTTAACAATTACTGCATAAACAGATCTCAAATATCTCAATTGATAAATAACACGTTATAAACAAATGGATAGCGTGAGAGATTTAAAACCTTTTCCAATTTATTAGTATTAAATAACAATTACGAAACAAGTGGATCATGGATATTTTTACCCGATTGTTAAATAATAGATTTTAAACAATTGCAACAATTTAATTTGATTTTTAAGCATTAATTAACAATTAATTACTGTACAAATAACTGATCTGAGATATTGTCGTTAATTTATTAGATATCGCGTTATAAACGAATGGATAATGCGAGAGATTTAGAACATATTTTGTTCA